CTCTATGTGCTGAAGACATTAGATGAGATGAGCTGCAGGACAATCACAAATACAGGCTCTAGAACCAGGGCACTTGGTTTTAAAATCCTGTCCCTGAACTGTTGCATGACCTTTTCAAGTTACTTCCTGGTACTTCTGCTCATGTCTAAAAAGTGATATTGATTATATCCACTACACTAGATTCAGGCTGCACTTTAAAAGAAAATTCTTGCATTCCAAAGAACTGTGTTCATGACTACATATCAGCATTAGGAAGGGAGAAAAAATAGGGACAGTTCTAGTCCTATCTCAGGGTCTTTTGTAGTATCAAATACGTTAATACATGTAAAACCCTAAGGGCAGTTCTTAGCCCATAGTAAGTGCTCAACTGATGACAACTATATTTTCCTTGTATCCATGGTAAGGGGTATTTTTAATGTTTACTTAAGGTTGTACACAAAAATTACAAGGTATGAACAACAGATTAGTTTATTTCTGTGAATTGTAACTCTATTCTAAACCTACCTACGTACCTATCTACCTACCTATCTATCTATGGACTGGTATTAATGATTTTATTTGTGTTTTGGGAAGAGATTTTTGAGAACCATGCAAAACTTAAATTTTGTTCTTCAAAAGCACTGCAAATCAAATATACAATAATGTGTTATCTTAACTCATACAGACTGAGTAAATATTCTATCAGTCCAAAAGGTTTGAAAAGACAAATCTAAACATTATTGAATTCAGTAACCGACCTCGCCCCCCGCCCCACCAAAAAAGCACTACTTGAATACCACCTGGAATTGTTAATAAATAAGACTGTTCACTTTGGTTCTTCTATTTTGTTTTTGTAGTATACCTTAAAAGCAATTACTATTCCATTACTGTTCACACAAGAGAAAAATTACCAGCTTGTAATTTAGAGGCAAGTGGAGTAGACAGAAGAAAATGGAGTCACTTACTACATTTTCCAAGAAGAAGCAGACAATAGCCTAAATGTTCAAAAGACACACGTTCATTGTACCAAACAATAGTCCAGACATGTCTTTATGTCAATTCATGAGAAAGAATAATCAGTAAGAAGTAGGTTGGAGAAAAAAAAACGATGGGAAAAGACAATAGGAAGAGGCAGAAGGAAGAATGTCTTAAATCTGAATTGTTATTTCTGGTCCATTAAAATATCAAAATCCAAATGAAAACTGCTGGCCTCCAAAGAAAACTGTCAAAAACTAGCCATAACTCAAGTACTAAACACCTAGGGAGAGTAAAGAAAATCTTTAGATTTAACATAGATAGCCTAAGAAAATTGGCTGTAGATTTATGTACATATTTCTACAAAATTCTCATTTTATCAGACCTATGGCATGACTATTAATATGCTTTCAGACAGGGAGAAATAAAACACAAGGGACACATTTCAAGTAAAATAATCTTTTCATGCTACACCTAAGAGAATTATCCGGTTTCTTCACTTTGAAAAGATTATTACCCTACACTAAGTGACTGTATCAGGGTAAAAGGAAAGGTAGATCTCTCGTCTCCTTTCAGGTAACACATACAGAATTTACTATCAGGAGGAGTGCCTAACATTGTGAATTTGAATATCCTTTGGATTATAGTTCCAATAAGCTGCAGGTATGTAAAGGAGGGAGCTTATAAATGCTTCAGAAAAGGAGCAAGACAGGATTAAACCTCAACGTCTCCATCTGCCTAGCACACAAACAGCTTAAGGACACCCAAATAAAATCCAAAGGGCCTCTTGAGTTCACAGCCTGTCAGAAACACCTTCAAGATGCAGTCTCATTGAATCCATTCATGAGCTCCTGAAATGTCTCAGAGTTGGCCTGTATTCCAGTCTTACTTCATCAAATTTAAAGTTAATTTTTTAAAAGTGTTTGTGCTTGCTTGGAAAGTACTAGTTTTTAAACTTCCAATTTAATTGATTTGCAAAGGTGAAAGCAACTTCACCTGAAAAGCATCAGCTTTAAACTCAGGAAAGCGTGGAAGGTCTTCCAGTAAAGACAGAAATCTGATCGATAGCATTATTGAAAATGACTGGGTATAGTCACATTTATCTGTAGTTGTTGCTTTTATTAAAGCAGTTTAAATCCTTTGCAAATAAGCTTTTCCGGAGAACTAGATCGATAGGGTGCACAGGCAGGCGAGAATATCTGTGATCCAGAGTGCAAAACCCCATCAATGACACAGGAAGAGCAGTGGTGATTGTAGAGACACAGGAAACCTGAACCGCCCCCCTTCTCCAAAGGCCAGCCCTAGTTTCTGTGGCTACAACTAACACTGAGCTGCTTTTGCAAATGGATTGGGCTGTTAAGATTGCTCATATATGAACAATGCAAATATTTCTTTCCTGGGGACACAGCTAAACTGAAAGGCGAGGCTGAAAATTAGTTAGCTGTATGGGAGAAGCAAGCACCATGCCAGTTACCACGGAGGAATAATTGAACATGGATTGCCTGTTGCGCCTTTAATTTAATTTGGAGACCTTTCATCTTACTTTCCTTCATTTGCAGCCAGTGCTTAGTGAGCTAATTTGTACCTGGTTCATTTTCCTCCTTTTATCTTATCTACGTTAACATCGACCATGAAAATTAGAAGCACTATGAATAAAAGATGAAGCCTGACTTGGGACATTCTTTCCTCAAGTACTGTGAATTACTTAAAAACTAATTTGTGTGTGCGCGCGCACATATAAAAGGCTGAGATATATGCCTAAGCTCTTCTGCATCCCTGATCAGCATCTTTCCTTCCCCCAAAGAACTTCGGTTCTTAGATGCTTTATCTGGTCCTATTTTTTCTCCAAGAGAGCCATGTCTACACTGTAATCCACATGGAATCATTAATCCTAGAAGTGGTATAGCGTAGTCCACCCTATTAATGCACAAAACTCAGGATGCATAAATTCCACTAATCTGACTTTTTAAAGAGTGCAATACTGCTTGCCAGGCAAAGAAAAGAATGTGTTGTAAAAAGGAAAACTGGGTATATATGCATGGTGAACAGATGCCTACCTCTGTCCTAAAACACTGTGTGGAAGAGAGGAGAGATGGTGGTGGAGAAAGTGACTAAAATTGCTGTCTAGGAGCTATGAACTTAAATTTTAAATGTATCATGTGTATTGTGCTTTTAAAAGATTCCTCTTGTATTTTGTATATTTGGCACCTCTCCATGAAAAGGAGTTGCACATGCTCTTAATTTAAGTTCATTCTGATTATTTCATTACTTCCAACTGTACACAATTTTAGTGTCTTGAAAGTTTTGCATGTTTTTTCCTTTATAGTTTCCTCTGGCCAATTGTATTTTCTCTCCCCACCTCTCCATGGTCAGTATAAAAAGAAAATCTGATTTCTTCTCTTGCTGTTTAATATCCACCACCGACAAGCCCTCCTTTCAGTTTGGGAAGCATCAAAGAAAGACTGTTTTCAATCGTTTCACTGCCTGTAGTGCCAACTCTTCCATTCACCCAACACCTCACATCAACCAGCTGGAAGCCGGGAATAAACCGAAAATCATTCCCCCTTCACAGTCAATCCCCCTAAAAGGTTCGTTAATAATGATGTGTATTAGTTTACATATACAAGACCATATATTTTCACAGATCAAGCAACTTCCAAGTTGTAGGAGGAAAAAAAAGACTTTGGGTGAACTGAAATGTAAAGGTCTTTATACAAACCACATCTTTCTAGGTAGAGTATGCAAGCAGAATCAAAATAAAAGCCCAATTTTTAAAAAAAAATCAGATATCTCTAATCTTGGTTATAATAAAGACTTGGTTATAATAAATACAATGTCAAGCTTATTTATTTCTTCTGTAGGACAGAAAGCCCTGCATCATGAAAGGGTGAAGAAAAGATGGAGAGCAATTACTGGTCCTTTTCTTCTTGGACGAGAGGATGAATAGAAATGAAGGCGGCAATTGCCCTTAAGAAATGGATTTTAAAGTCGCATAGGCAGAAAAATTAAACTGGAAGGGTACAGAGCAGCTTTGTCCTGAGGTTTAATAAAGCCAAACAGATATTAGGATGAAAATGTGGGGCGTATATGATTACTGGACACACAGATTGTCCAGTGTACTTGGGCGGTAGGTGGGATAATAAAGTCTCAGAAGTAAGATGTCAGGGAATTTTGGGTAGAGGAAGGCAACAGTCCCATGGGATGTCAAAGAATCCGAGATTTTTGTCAGCTACATTTGTGTATGAGAAAACAGACAAAACCATGTAACTCAGTCTCATTTGCAGCACACAGACTGCAAAATACCAGCCTCAACAAATAACACCTGTTCTAACCCAGTGCTGGCTGGCTCTGTGCACGTGTGGCTTTCCAAGGGAAAAGAGGGCCATCTCAGCAACAGGGGGACGGGCTGCACTCAGGGCCTCACAGTGAGTAGTAGGATGCAATGGCGCCATGCAAGAGTGGCCTGGAGGAAACTCTGGAAGGCACTGTTTTCACTAATAATCGTTTCCGTGCCAGCGGATGGTGCCAGAGAAAACTGTCCCAGGGCTGATTATTAATCACAATCTTCACCTTCTTCCCGTTATGGTTCTAGACTCCGAATCACACCTGTGTGCGCTGAAAGGCCTCGGAGTACACCAAGCCACCCTCCCTGTGCAGAGTCCCTCCCTGATCTCCTCCTCTCGAAGCTCGCCCCTCCCTGACCGCCCTCCCCATCTGGGCTCCATTCTCAGGTCGGCCAAGAGTGTTCCTCGAAATCATTCCCGCTCCCCACACCTGTGCTACTCCCTCGGCCCAATCTCGGGGCCAAGAGGACAGCAAAGCTGCTGGTCAGACTCCCTCCCTTGAGTCACAGAGGCCCTCATCCTCCCCTCCCCACCTTCACCCCAGGAAAACACGCCAACCGAGACTGCGGTCGAGAGGCGCTCCACCTGGAGTCCCAAAAGGGTGCAGAGAAAAGTGAGAACTCCAAAGTGCAGCCGCAGCCTGGCCAGCCCCCGAGGGCCCCTCCCGCCCTGGCCCCCCATGTGGGGCAGGCCGGCCTCTACCTCCTGGAAGAGCTCCAGACTGTAGGTGTTGTCATCGTCAGCGAAGAACAGCACGCCGGGCTGCGCGTGCTGGTGCTGGTGCCTCTGGCGCAGCCAGGCGAGGCCGGCGTTGCGCTGCTCGGTTGCGCGCGGCAGTCCGGGACGCTTGTAGCGCCGCGGCGTGGGCACGTGTAGGTGAGTGCTGGGCAGCCCGGCCCGCGCCAGGAAGCGGCTCACCAGCTCGCTGCGCGCCGCCGCGTCCTCCACCAGGATCCAGTGCAGCTGCGCCACCTGGCGGAAGGTGTTGGCCAGGCGGGTCAGCTCGGCTTTCTGCACAGGGCGGCTGTAGGTGGGCGTGATGGCATAGATCGTGGGTAGAGGCGGCCCGGGTTGTGGTTGTGGCAGCGGCCGCGACTCGTTGCGCTTCTCTAATCCGCGCCCGGGGCCGCTGTCGGGGCCGCCCCTGCGGAGCGGGTGTCGGGCGCCCCCGCGGCCCACGGCATAGGGAGAGAAGTAGGGGCGCGGGGTGAGCGGAGGCGCGGGCCTGCGCGTGTCCACGTCGAGCATGATGATGACTATTAGGATCCAGGGCAGGAGGATGAAAAAGCGGCTGAACAGCACGGACTTCATGGTGCACTCTTCCCCGGCTTCTCAGATGCCCCTAAGAGGGGCTAGCCGGGGGACTCCAGCGCGCAGTTTGGACGGCAGCGGCGCCCGCACTCAAGAAGCCAAGATCGGTGCGCTCTCCATAGGGTCTGGGGGCGCTGCGGGGGCCGGGAGCAGGTGACAAGGAGCTAGGGTTTATAGGGAGTGCAGGCAGGCTGGCAGACGCCAGTGACTCGGCGGGAAGCGGGACTCGGTCCAGCTGCTGGCCCCGGAGTTGTGCCAAGCGCCGGGAAAGCGGTTATCCTCACTGCGCTCTTTGCGAAGAGTGGGAGCTGGAAGCTGGCCCCGGGACGCCTCGTTGCTCCTGTCCCGAGGCGCTGCGGGCAAAGGGACTCCAACCGTGGACCCCCCAATGCGCTCTTTGAGACACCTTCGAGGGCTGGAGGCAGGTGCTGAGGGCTTCCCTTCGTCACATCTCAGCCAGAGCAGCGAAGATCGAGAGGGGACGCCGGGGACGCAGTAGCCCAGCTCCGTTTGCGCGCTGCAGCGAAAGCCTGCACTCCTGCCCCTCGCTCTTCTCTTCTCAGAACCTCTCCCGGCTCCAGCAGTAAAATCCCAAAGCAAGGAAAGAAAGAAAAAGCGAGGGGCGGGGGCGCTGCGGACTCCCGCGTCCTCCCAGTCCTCCTGTGGGAAGACAGCAGCGCTGCTACTGGCGGAGAGGGGCTGCGAGGGGGAAGTGGGGAGGGGTCCGGCTCTCTGGGGTCTGGCGCGGACGGCCCCGCGAGCTAGGTCTGGAGGCGGCGGCTGCACCGCCAGAGGAGGAGCGGGGGGGGAGGGTCCCCGAGGGGCTCACGACCTCCGGGAGGGAGGTGGATGCTCGTTCGCTGATCTCCGCGTGCTACTAGCTTTCTGGTATACTGAAAGGTCTTTGGAAATCAGCCAGTAAACCCCATTCACGTGCGTAAAACTCTGGAGACCTAAGGTGGGGAATGAGAGGAGGAGAGACAGGAGAGGGCAAAGGATCGCTTTTCTGGCTTCCAGCTGCAGGGTTGGTGTGCTGGGGGTGTGCCGAACAGCGGCAACAGAAAGCGCTTTCAGTGAAAAGTACAAATCAATAAGAAGCCCTGGAAGACCGAGGGGGGCCGCACATAGGTGTTTGGCATGTGAGATAGCCCATAAGAAAGAATCAATCCAAACGGTAGCTGCCTGACTGCAGTTAGATCATTGGAGGAAATGTTCTAAAACTCCTCCTGAATCTGTTTGTTTAACTTCTTCAGTAATTTGGAGTCATAGTACCTCGCAATTCGCTATCATCGGAATTATTCTGTTTGAATCTCCCAACGAGCTTTTCAAGGAGGCCTGGGAAGTAGAATCACCTTCATTTTCTGGATGGGGAAGCTGAGGCTCAGAGTTTAAAGTGATTTCTCCAAGGTCAGTGGCAAGCGACCAAGTGAAAATGGAACGTGGGTCCCCTAAGTCTAGCCAGTAGCTTCCCCTGTGCACGGCCTGCAGAAATCACACCCGGCTGGACCCGGCGGGCTGGCCCTCTGAGATGTAAACACCGTGCAGTCAAAATCAAACAGAGCGTACGATGACGTGTAGAACCATGACAGTGTCTGGGTGACAACGAATGAGTATACAATTGGTGCTTAGTTTGGACTTTTTCTATTTAGTGAACCTACTAGCTAAGTCCTTGGCTGTCTGTAAGGTACCGGGAAGAAAGAAGGGCCACGCTTCAGTCACGTTCCAGGAAGGTGCTTACAAAGCAGCAGGAAAGCCTCTTCCTCCCTTCGCCCGCCCTCCAGCCTGTAGTAATTTCTGAGCCCACCTTCCCTCGGTTGTGTCTTCCTCGGTCTTGTTCACAAATAAATCCCTCCGACCGCGCGTTTCTGAGGGCGCGATGGAGAGCTCTAGGGCGGATGCCCCTCCAGCCTTTCTGATGCTCCTTGTTTTCTCAGCCCTACCCTAGATGCTCCCGCCTATCATCAGGCTTCCGCGCGTCTGCGAGTTTCCCTAACTTCCCTCTCGGAATCTGAAACCTGAGAGTGAAATGTACAGATTTAACATGCCCCCACCCTCGCAAGGACAAGCCTTCTGTCCCGACATCACTGTATCACCCCACAGCTCATACTTTAAACTCGGCAGATCAGAGCACCCCAAACATAGGAAACAATGAATCCATTAGACTCCCTCCCGTCTCGGTTAGCCTAATGGGCCTCTGGATATTACACTACTTCTAGAAAATGTATCTTCGTCAGGCCTAGGGGTGTGCCCGTGGAAATCAATGTCTGCATCTTGGGAAAGGAGGGAGGAGAGGGAATTCAGTAAAGGCTGTTCTTAAATACAAGAAAGCAACATACACACGCACATGCCTGCAAAGATCACCGAAGTCTCCTTCATCCTGTGGGAATTTTTAAATGTAGTTTAAATATCTTGTGAGTTAGCTGGAGTAAAGCTCAAGTGGTTACTGAATTGTATTAAAAGCGTCACTAACCTTCGTTAGCAGGGAATTCGACTATTCCCACTATACCGTGAAACCTATTTCCTAATTGCTTGCCAGGCAACCAGGGCTATTCAGAGATGAGACACTTTTAAAACCAAATTTTGGAATTTGAGATTTTAAATGGTGCCCAGAATTCACAGGTGTCAAATAACACAACACTTACCTAGCACATCCACATCTCAAAGTCACTTCATCTTTTCTATTATCCTTTGTCAGCATTTGCCTCCAGGTTTACCTCATTCAGTCATCCCATGGGGGCATCATGGTTCTTGGAGTCAGACACACCTGGGTTTGAGTCCCAGTTGGGCTACCGTGGGCAACTTGAGAAAGTCAATAAGCCATTCAAAGTCTCAGTTTCTCACCTGAAAAATGGAATTAATAATACATACTGCATGGGAATGAATCATGTAAGGACTAAATAGGGTAAGTTAGGTAAAGTATTTTTCAGAGGAGCTGGCATTATGTAAGCAGTCAATAAATGGTTTTTAAATACAAGTAATACATCCTCAAAAGATCTGAACCCAGGAGATCTTGCAGGATCATAATCACGCAGGAATACAAAATTAATCCGTTCTAAACAGGACTGACAATGCCTCTAAATAGGGCCCCCACCTATCAGGAAGGCATTAGTGTGTGTGGTAGAGTGTTTCCAAGTTGGGGTAGAGAAGGGAAGAAAGAAATCAATTTACCCCAAATACAAAGTGCAGCTTGTCATGAAATAAGGATGACGTCATTCCACGTGGCATTTATTTCAAACTACTTAATATGTCATAATGTTTTATATTCAGCATCTCAAAAATTTGGACCCATATCTTTTATGATCAAATCTTGATAAAGACACAAAAATTATTAAGAATGTCCATTTGAAACATAAAACCAGTGTAAAACACTTTTAAGTGCCAAATTTTATCACTTTTAAAATAGAGAGTTTATCAAGTGCTGGAATGGAAACAACTCTTTTAAATGGAAGCTTGAAGAAAAGTCATTTTTATGAAGCATAATCACTGGGTAGCTCTAGTACTTTTCCATGTAGTTTAAAACATTCAAATAAAACAATTTAAACTTGATCTGTGGCTGATAATGAAGGTTGGTGGAAGTCACTAGAGTAATTAAAATGATTACCTAACTTCAGAGCTTCTGTACATTCTCTGTTTATTTTCATTAAATCTCTCTAATTATTTGTGTAACAAATGAGCATTGCTTCATCTGTACTAATGAAGCCTTAGATTGCCGGCATCAGCTACTACATTTAAGCATTCAGTTGTTGTTCTCAAATAAACAAAGGTAAAAAAAAATCCCATATGGGGAGTTAATCAAAACATATTGTATAATCACTAAACATTTACATTTTGCCTTGAGGAGTAATATGCAACTGTAACTTCTACAGCAAAAAGATTGCAGCATGATTAGTGGACTGTATAGAACTGATCCCATTTGACATTTGAGCCTGGGGTTCTGCTAGTGTAACTAAATCAACCTTCAAATCAGCATTTGGGGACATCCTTGATATTCTTAGTCAAGTAAGAAAGAGAGCAGGAAAAATATACACTATTAGGTATTTGTAAATATCTATATGATAATATAGGTATGCAAATTGGGTTTTAAAAAGAATTAGAACTAATTCATGTGCAAGTAATAATGTAATATGAAAGTATCAATTCCACACATACATGTGAACATAAATACTTTCTGTTAAAATAGACAGAATTATGTGAAAGAGTGATATCAAAATAAATAATTCTAATAGCCCCAAATTCTAGGGATACATGACAGTTTCACTGATAACTGTCAGAAAACATTCAAACCATGAATTAAATGGTTCATTTGGTTTATTTTATTTTCATGCATCTGGTCCTCTACAAATATCACTTTTGGCCTAGAATTATTCTAAATTATAGTGCTTCCTTAAAATGTTAGACATTTGCAGCTATTGTGTACAGAATGTAACATTAGAAGTAGTTCAGTAAAATCTCATTTTTATAGGATAAGTTGGGATCAAGATTATTCAGCAAAAGTGATTTACTAGAAATTGGCAATTTATCCTAACAATTTTATTAAAAAATAATTCCAATCAGTTTGAATAATAGCTGAAGATAAAATGTTCCAGTGTTCTTCCTTTTCCACCCATTAATGCATTAGGATACACAAAAACCCAATGAAACGTGTATAAAGACATAGGAGCAAATTTTGTTATCTTTTTTATTCACTATCTTAAACATTGGCATTTACATTAAAAGGCTAATTTGTTAGAAATAGGATTTTATTGTAAAATTATACAACCTACCTTTCAAAGTTGTTAGGACAATCAAAGATATGATGTAGATGAAAGTATTTGAAACACTGTAGTTTATACATGTAAAATAGAGGAGATTGGCCATGAGCTGATAATTGTTGAAGCTGAAAAATTATGCATGGGGTTCCTTATATTATTGGGCCGATTTTTATATATGTTTTAAAATTTCCATAAAAAGTAAAAATACATAAAATAAGTATTATGTACTATAGATTATTTACTAAGACA